AGGAACAAACTGTGTTCGAGGACTAGTGGACTTGAAAGTTGCTGAATTGAAGCAAGAATTGGAGGAGAGAGAGAGCTAGATTTTTCCGGAAAGAAATCAGTACTCCAGAAGGCACTATGGAATAACTTGATTGAATGAGGAGAAGATCCGGATGCATATTTATTCGAAGTTTTTGGGGGTGATTTGAGTTCAATAATGAGCAAACTCGATGAGAACACCAAATCGCTGAAAGATGAACTTCAACAAAATTTGGTAAGTTTGGAGAAGCTTCTGGAAAATTCAAAGAGTTTGGAGGAGAAGCTTCGCGAAAATTTGGTGAGTTTAAAAGATGAACATCAACAAAATTCGAAGTGCCTGGAGGAGAAGCTTCTGGAAAATTCGAAGAGTTTGGAAGATAAACTTCTAGAAAATGCAGAAGGCTTGAAGAAATAATGTGGCGAGTCTACTCGAAGAAAGGATGGAAACCATCGAGACAGAGATAGACAAAATCAGGAAGGAACACGGAAGTAGAGGAAATCATAGGCGGAGTTCAGGCAGACATCAGCAAGATGAAGGAAACAATCAGCAATTTGCAAAATCAAATCATTAATTCTGCCCACACAATAGAACATGTTTCCGAAAACTCCATTCCGAGGCTGAAAGATGTCAAAGTCAGTCCTGAACCAGGAAAGCTCTCCATGAAGCCGCCCCAGTTCGATGGAAAAACTTCTTGGGCAAATTACCGCCGACAATTCGAAGCTGCGGCCAGAGCGAATGGATGGAATGCAGGAGAAAAGGCGGTAGCATTAATACTGGCGTTGCGTGGAGAAGCAACGAATATTCTGCAAACCCTCACGGCCCAGGAATAGGAAGACTATGACCAACTTGTAAAACATCTTGAGCTGCGGTATGGACAAGCCCACCTAGAGCACTTTCACCATTCACAGCTGAAGAACCGATTCCAGATATCAGGAGAATTCCTACAGGAATTCGAAGCCGACATTGCTCGATTGGTTCGTCTGGCATATCCTGCTACATCGGAAAATGTAATGGAGCGGTTAGCAGTTCAGGCATTCTTGGACGGACTTCGCGACCAAGAAAGGAGGCAGTCATTGATTGACACTAGCTCATCCCAAACATCTCGTGGATGCACTGGCAGGCGCTCTGGGGTTTGAGGCTGCAAAACAATCCTTAAGAGCCAGAGCAAAGTTCGAGCTATCGAGGAAGATGGACAAGCGCCTGCTGATATTGAGACCACCATCAGAAAAGTAATGAAAGAAGTGTTGCCTGAGAGGAAACAAATAAGATGCTGGAACTGTGGGAAAATTGGACATGTGCGTAGCAAATGTCCAGCTTTCAAAGAATCGACACCAAATCAGGAAAACTAGAGGGGGTCGATGAGAAGAGGCAATCGTCGACCTGTACCCAGCAGCAAGCAATCGTGAAAAACGCATATGTTGCCGTCCTCCAACGACAAGACAAAGGTATTTTCGTAGACGGCCTCATCAACAACGAGCCTTGCACTATGCTGCTAGATACAGGTGCTAGGAGAACCATTCTCAGGCCTACCTTTGCCAAAACACCGGCAAGAATTGAACCGTCAAGCTGGAAGCTACGCACCGCAACAGGGGGGCCAGCCACTGTACTTGGAGAACTACCAATTGAATTGGTGTTGGGCAGCACTAAATTGAAACATTGTGCATTGGTGGCGGACATCGAGGACGATGCGATTATTGGAATGGACATGATGAATTCCAGAGGGTTCGAGCTGAATTTTCAAGACGGCGTCCTACGTGTCGGCGAAGAAGAGCTGATGCTTCATGGAAAAACCGAAGAGACGACCAGGGTCCTGTTGGCAGAAGACGTGTGCGTACCTGTAAGGGCTGAAACCATCCTGGAGGCTCGTGATGAAGAAAGACAGCTACCCCCTTCCAAGAATCGACGATACCCTAGACACGCTAGCCGATTCCATGAATTTCTCTACTTTGGATTTGAAGAGTAGATATTGGCAAGTTGAATTGGCCTAGGAAGATCGAGAAAAGACTGCTTTCACCATCGGCTCAGGATTGTGGCAGTTCACGGTTATGCCATTCGGGCTTTGTTATGCTCCAGCGACCTTCGAGAGATTGATGGAGACGGTTCTCAAGGGGCTCTCATGGAAGACGTGTCTAGTGTATCTCGACGATATAATCGTGGTCGAAAAATCATTCGACGATCACTTGAAAAATCTGGAGAAGGTATTCATGCGTCTGAGGAGTTCTGGATTGAAACTTAGTCCCAAGAAATGCCATCTGTTCCAGAAAGAAGTTCGTTACTTTGGCCACGTTGTCTTTGGGGAAGGAGTGGCAGTGGACGAACAAAAGATCAAAGCAGTTAAGAATTGGCCATTCTAAAAGACATACACCAGCTTCGGAGCTTCCTTGGTTTGTGCACCTACTACCGTAGATATGTGCTGGGGTTTGCAAACATCGCCAAATCATTGACCCGACTTACAGAAGGACAGATCCAGTTCCAGTTGCTTGAGGAATGCCAAGACTCATTCAAGAAGTTGGAAAGGGCTTTGATAAACGCTCCTGTTTTGAGCTCTCCTCTACCGGACGGAAAGTTCATTTTAGATACGGACGCCAGCAACGTGGGACTTGAAGCAGTCCTTTCTCAGATCCAAGATGGACAGGAGAAAGTTATTGGCTACTTCAGCAAAACGCTCAGTAAACCAGAGCGCAATTACTGTGTCACCAGGCGAGAGCTGTTGGCCGTTGTCAAAGGCGTAGAACATTTCTACAAATATATGTATGTAAGAAAATTTCTGTTGAGAACGGACCATGCAGCTCTCAAATGGCTTCTGCAATTCAAAAATCCCGAACACAGTCATGCTCGTCAACTACAGGGTTTAATTTGATTGAAATGTTATTTTTTCATTTCATTGAGAATGTTGTCAATATGAAGAGAAGCGTGGATCGTGGAACAGTGTTCGATATCAAATTCATTAAGTGTTTTTTGGAGCTTTATTGTTTGTATTGAATCCGGGTGAGCAACAACTAACATCCCTACGAATATCACAGTCATATTCTTACAAATTCTCATGAATATCAATGAATTATTCACATGAACCATGATATTGAATCACTTCATTCCTTGAGAATGGTATAAAAAAACGTTCGGTAATCTTTGGGAGATACTTTTTGTGGAGGATTCAATGTTGCTGTTTTTTTGAGAATAACATTCTCCACAATATAGGAATAATCAACCAGGAGTTCAAATTTGGTCTGCTGATTGGATAACCTACATGGTTTTTTTTGGACAATTAATGTTCCAAAAATGACTTTCTTTCTGTTCTCAAAAACCAAAAATTTCACTTGTTAAAACACCTCAGACGAAATCATATATTTCATTTGACAAAAATTATTCTTTTGCCGTTTTTGCCGTCCTTTTGACGGTGGTGTGGGTTTTGACAACAAAAGGGATTACTTCTCGAAACGTTAACCTCTCAAAAAAGGTAAGTATATCAAGTTAAGGTTTTTCCATAGATTATTTGATGTATAGCGCATAAGACAGGTTATATTACATAGAAAATGTTTGGGGTGAACTTTAACAGATTCTCTATCAGTTAAGCTTAGTTATTCATCGTTTGTTTGTTGTTATTCATCTTACGTTTGGCTGTTTTTGAGTCAATTGAATAGAACTGGCCGATACTTGATGAAAATCCATATAAAAAACTAAAAATAAACTGCAGTTTATGCTTGAAGAAGCTATTGTATAGCGAAACACGTGTCGCGGTTTTTGTTAAACCCTTATAGTGAAAATCATACAATAAACTGTATTGATTAGTGTTTTTGAGTTTGTCGCGTTGAGACAGATGCAGCAGAGGACTCCAATCTGAAGTAGGTAGGGATACATTTTATATTGCACATATTATGAGGTGGTAGATGAAGAAAGTTGAAATGGAGACAATTCATACGAAATCAGCGAATAGCCTAATCATTGAATTTTACAAATCTTTGGTTCGTTAGAAGTATCCATAAAGAATACTGAAAATCAAAAGTTATATGAAAATTGAATAGAACTGGCCGATACTTGATAAAAATCCATATTAAAACTCATTAATACAGTTTATTGTATTATTTTCACTATGAAGTGTAAATTTTTCATATCAAAATAAACTGTATTATTGAGTTTTTCTTTTGTTACATGAAAAATTCATCTGTAATATTGGCCATTAATATTTTTTTTATTTCTGAATCCAAATTTCATCTACATAGACTCCTTAGTGAGATGTAAATAAAACACGAGAGAGAAAATCACTTCAAGCGTAAATATATTTTCATGAATTATTTTATGCGAAAAATAAAATATTCATCAATAAATAATTATCGCCATGCGCCACTGGAATCAATGAAGTGACACTAGCTTGAATTTTCTAGATGATTAGTGTGACAGACCAGATAAAAAACCAAAATCGAAGTCAAAATGGTTTCATACTTTCATAACTCAAAAAATAATTGCCCTAAGAATGTGAAATTCTAAATTTGCAATATTTTTTGAGAATACCTACTACTACTTAATGAAGAATTATAGAGTTTGCTATTCGTTCATCTCATATGAATTGGCCCAACATTTTATGAAAGTAACAAATTCACTACTTCATTGTGAGTTGTAGCAAATATGATACACTTATATATGTGAATGTTTCTATTTTTGAATATATTCTACATTATCAGCTGCTATTTCATTCAATTGATAGGAATATAATATAAAATGAAAGACTGATATCCTACTATTGATTTTTTTTCATGAAACCTGAATTGTCTAATATACGAGTATCTTATTTTATGATATTAAATACATGAGAAATATGAAAGTTGTACCCCAAGTATCCTTAAGAATCGAAATCATTTTGACGGTCATGGACTTCTCACGGTGAAGAAGAATTGAAGAATTGGAGTACTGTCCGGTATATATAATGATCAGAGATTATCAGTTGAACACTGTCTGAAACGTTCGATAAACTCACGTATCACAAAATGGTATTCAAGGTACTACATTTACTTCATAATAGATGATAATGATAAAAACGAATAATCTCATGTAGAATCGAGTCATTTCATATAAATTTTTCAACAATGTATCATAATTTCTTACATTGATAGAAACAATTTTTGCAGTAAAAATATTAATTTTTGAGCTATTTCTCCTTTGCAACGATACAGAAATGACATTCGTTGATTTTACAAATATTGAAAATGGACATATTTACTAAGAAACAAATATTGATCGAATTTTGAAAAAAATGCGTTTCATTAGAACTTCATAATATTCGAAATATTTTTCTGAAATTTGCAGCTGATCACTTTTGTCTCTTGTTTGGCCGCTGCTCAAGCCGGAATGATACCAGCAACACCTCTGGCTTATGCTTCCCCAATCGCGAAAGTAGCAGCCCCATTAGCATATGCTGCTCCCTTAGCAAAGGTAGCCGCTCCCTTGGCCTATGCCGCTCCAATAGCCAAAGCTGTTGTTTCCGGAGAATACGACCCACACCCACAGTACAACTACGCCTACGATATCCAAGACGGTTTGACCGGAGACAGCAAAAGCCAGCACGAATCCCGTGACGGTGATGTAGTCCAAGGTAGCTACTCCCTCATTGACGCCGATGGTTTTAGACGTACTGTCGACTACACTGCTGACCCAGTCAACGGCTTCAATGTTGTTGTCAATAGAGAACCCCTCTTCCAGAAAGCTGTTGTTGCCAAAGTTGCTGCCCCAGTTGCCTATGCTGCACCAGTAGCTAAAATCGCAGCTCCACTTGCGTATGCTCAACCCGCTATCGCTAAGGTAGCATACTCTGCACCAGTTGCTCAATATTATCATTAGACTATATAGTGACAACTGTCTTTATGAAGTTATTTATTATTTAATTATTTCATTGTATTCATTTGTTTGATATAGTTTTTCAAGCTGATCCGATATTCTGAAATACACCAAATTCGTAACTATATCTAAAGGGAACGACTCAGATGCCTGATTGGATCATAACTTAGGATTTTTATTATCCAAAGTGAAGTTTCGTGAAAATACTTTTTTTTCGAAAAAAGACCACCGAAAATGAAATATAAACTTTTCAGGAAATCAAACCTATCAAAGTTGCCCATTACATAATTTTGATGACATAAAAGTTGGTCAAATATTTGGGTTTTTGATTCATTTTATTTTTATTTTGATTCATTATTCATTCATTTTATCGACAACACATGTGAATGGTTCAATCGCAACATAGAAAAAGTCAATTTACTTGCTGAATAATTGGCATCATAGTCGATTTTTAGGGGAAAACACATCTCACTATTTCACCTATGTCAACAAGTTTTTGGTGGTGACGAAATATCCATCATCAAATTTTAAAAAATGTAACGGAGACCATGCAACTGGGTTTCAACTTGTCGAGTAAAATTTTCAAAATCAATAAAGTGAAGTGAGGAAAATTTGTGAATCAGAATATTCTTGAATATTTGAAATGCCACATCTCAGGCGATTATTGATATAGTTTCCTTGAGCAAAAATTAACAGATGATCGACCTCCCATCTTACTCATACTAAATAGTGCAATCAAAACACAGGGTGAGTTTCTAGTTTTTACGACAGATAAAGTATTCGGCAGTATCTCATAGTCAACTAGATAAACTTCGATATTTGACAATTATCTTTCTCATATTTATATCAAGGACCTGTTTCAAAAGATAGAAATTCACTTATTTTTTCTAATAATGGCATACTGATCTCGACTTTGAATTTATATGCGAGAACATGAGTAGCCAGTGCACATCTTTGCTGAAATGAAGTTTTTTAACGCAATGGAAATTAGAAAAACGTACTTTCAAGGTCATAAGAGCCAAATAAAATTCAATGCTGGGAGAACCGAGGAGTCAATTTAATGTGAGAAGATAAATGTGGCAGAACCTGAATATGCACTTTTTCTAGCTGCTTTTGTTGAGCCTCAATTACCTGTCAACTCTAATAAGGAAGTTGCGTATATTTTGATGCAACATAATGCATTACAGATTAATTTTATCTGAATATTGATTGGAGTTTGTACAGACTTACCCCGAACGTGAGGCTGCTGGAGTTTATTTAGAAAAACATATTTTTCTGAACACTTCGAAGTGATGAAATATCAATGCGATTCTCGTCATTCTCATTTCGAATATTATTATTTGGAAGTGGTCTACGATGTTTTATAGTGAATTTCACAAGTTTAAATTTTCCATGTCTAATAAGATATAATATGAAATGAAATTTCGGAAATAATAATTAAAATACAAATAAAATACAATGAAAATTCGAATCAATAGCTGAAAATAAAAATTAAGTTGAGCGATAAATACAATAGGATGAAAATAGGCAAAAAATTGAAATCGAACAATCAAAAATTAAATAAAAATCAAGATTTCAAGCCAAGTTACTTCACGACGTTTTGATTGTTAGTGTCCACAGTCGTTATCACCCGAAGACAGTAATTATTTTACTGACTGCTTGACAGGATTTGCCCTCAACTAGAAAGAGAAGGGAGTATTTCATACACAGAAAAATAATTTGAATTGAGGGCACCAGGTGAATTCATACCAAGTGTGCAAACATCCAACTCGTAATAATCATTCACGGAAACAATTATATATATATAATCTTGAACCCTTTTACCCTCAGGGTGTCGGGTGATTCTGAATTATATTAGAAAATAAATATTACAATTTCATCAAATCACTACAACTAAGATATTCTTTAAAGTTCATAGAAAACTTCTTCATATACATACTTGTTTCGAAATCAATAAACTTCGTTTTCATGTATTTTTGTAATGCACAAATGAATCAATTATTCTTTAAACTTCAATATTTCAATACTATATCAATTTAGTATGAAACTTTCATTATAAAAAATCTGGAAATGTGTTTTGGATTTGAAAAAACTTCGTTTCCATGTATTTTTTAAATGCACAAATAAATCAATTATTCTTTATAGGTACTCCATTATTTCAATACTATATCAATTCAGTACAAAACTTTCATCATCAAAAACACTGGAAAAAAAAGAAACTTCGTTTTTATGTATTTTTGTAATGCACAATCAAATCAATTATTCTTTATACTCGAATATTTCAATACTATATCTATTTTGTACAAAACTTTCATCATAAAAAAATGGAAATGTGTTTCGAATTCAATTAACTTCATCTTCATGTATTTTTGTAATGCTCCAATATTTCAACAGTATGCCAATTCAGTACAAAACTTTCATCATAAAAAAAACTGGAAATAATGTCGTAACGAATCATGGCGGAAATGAATATTTATGATCACATGAGTAATATTATTGTAGTTTTTTGCCAACACCAAATCGTTATTTCAACATCTCGACACGTGTTTCGATCACCAAGTGATCGATCATCTTCAAGAGGAAAATCAAACTAATTATACTTACGAAGTTATCCTTATTTATACCATAAATACCTTTTCTTGGTACCTGCTTCTTGAGTGTCCTAAATTAATTTCACAATATTGCCTTATTTACTACTCTCAAATCAATTTTACAATGTGTCCTTATGTAATAGTCAGGTAAATCTAGTGATTAAAATATTATTTTAACAAGCTATATAAAATTAATTTCACAATATTGCCTTATCTACTAGACTTTAATTAATTTTACAATGTGTCCTTGTGTAATAGGCAGGTAAATCTAATGGTTGAAATATTATTTTAACAAGCTATATAGGACACTATTAGGTATTGGTCCACTATCATTATTCATAATATCAATATTTTTACTTATTTCTACAGTCTCATAGGGATCTAGATACCTGTTGTTTACTAATGTTGTATAACTAATCTGAATGAACTGAAGTCTATGGAATAGTTTTGTTGCAAAATCTGTCTGTCTGTTTAAAATCTGTTTTTCCGTTAACCAGCTGTCGCACCCCTACGAACAACAACCCTCAAAAGTCGAAACTTGTGCGAGCTAAGGATTAACGAGGTCTTACCTTTTAACGTGTGATTCCTAACACGGGCGATATGATGGGCGACTGCTGATTTTCCAGGTCTTTCATATTTTAAGTGTGCTAAGTGTTCCTTATATCTCATTTCAATAGATTTTTTTGTCTGTCCATGATATTTTGTATCGCAGTCCTTACATTCAATTTCGTAAATTGCAGACATTTCCGAATTATCGACTTTATCTTCTGGATTTTCTGAAATGCTCTGTAGTGTATGATTTGTTTTAAAAACCATCTATATACCTAATTCCTTGATAATCTTTCCAAAGTTCTTCGTGTTTGGTGGTATGGAAATATATTTATCTTGGTTTTTGTTGTTTTTGTCGGTTTTTGTCGATTTCCTTCATTCTTAACCTAGACTTTTTCATCTTTATTATATCATCTACAATAACCCTCGAAAAACCGTCAGTGGCTGCTATTTTCTGTATTGTACTTTTTTTTGTGAACCTCTCATGAGCGAGAGGAAAAGTCAAAAGACGATGCACTAGAAAATTCAGCCCAGCACATTTGTGCTGTCCAAAGTGATGTGAACCTGTACGTGCTTGTTTCTTTTCTAAAAACATCGTATTTTAACCCTCAATATTGGCTCCTCATTACCAAAATGCCAAGAAATGAAGGTTGTCCTTTATTTTCTAACTCATACGTGAATATTTTTTTATGGAAATCTGTTATTCAAAAAGAAAACAAAGTCCTCAATAATAGATTTTTTGTTATCGAATATCGCGAAAACATCATTCACATACCTTAGCCATATCCTAAGAAAATACTTTGACTTTTCTTTGGTTACTTATAGCCGTTCCCTCCTGTTGTTCATAAAAGGAACCTTTTACCTAGAACCGTTTTCTTTCATACACAAATTAGTGAGAGAAATGAATTCATCAAGTTCGTTATTATTGAAATTATTTTTCTCTAGTAATTCCCTGACGTATTGTAAGGTCTGTGGAATTGGGACGCTAGGAAATGAGGAACTAACATCAAAAGAAATCAAAACCTCACCTTTTTGCAGAAAGATGTTTCTTGTATGTTGTATGAACTCTAAGAAGTTTTTATACTAAATCCTGGTTCCGCAATAGACAAGCCTTCAAATTTCTTAGTGAGCCATTTTGGTATTTGGTAGGTAGGAGATCCAATAATTGACACGATGGGGGCATTGATTTTCCCAGTTTGTGGAAAAAACTCCAGTTATATTCATTACTACACCAAAGGTTCCAAACAGTACATCACAAGTAAATCACATGAGTGGTCAAATAGAAAACTCGTGTCAATGAGAAATAACAGTAAACCCCTGCAGTGAGTTTCGAAATAAATTATCATCAAGTATTGATGAGTTCCATTCGTAACAAATAATCCTCTAACGTGATAATATGTACTCATCAACAATAATGAATTCAAATTCAGAGAAATAATTGGTATTTTTCTACTTATCTCTTGGAAAAGTTATTTCAAGAATAATCTGAGTCTTATTGAATATTATCATTCAGTTCTTAACTTGATTTTTCTAAAGCTAATGAAAATCACTTGCATCATATAAGTGATCTCAAGAAATGTATTTCTTTTGAGCATTTTCTCCTTTTCAAATTAAAAATTAACAAAAATGTAGAGTAATGCAACAGCATTTAATCATTTAAAAAATACTTTACTGCATCTGAGCGGTGATTTTATTGACACAAAAAATCCCCGTAAACATTGACATTAAACTATTCTCTCGAGAATCTAGACCCACACTTTCAACAACACAAATCAAATGCCAATGAACTGGGAGGTGTCGTATCTGATTGAAAGTTGTACCCCAAGTACCATGGGCGAAGCCGGCGTAACTTTGGGGGTCATG